ACTACAGGTGCTGAGCACCCCCTCCCGAAATGCCCCTCTGGGGACAGAATTGCCCCCTGAAGAGGACCAGTGAGGATAGGGAACAACCATCCCACTTTCTGAAGGGCTCAGAGAGGTGAAGCGACCTGCCCAAGGTCACACAGCTGACATCAAATCCAACAGGAGCTTCTGGACCTGTGCTGGGGGGTCCCCAGCCTGTGTGGGGAAGGGGCAGGTGCTCACCCGGACGACGTCCTGGGGCACGGCAGCCATGGCCCGCGGCAGAATGATGACCACGGCACCCGCTGACTGCCGCAGGGCCTTCTGGTACTGCTCGTAGGAGAAGTCCACCAGCCGCATGAGGACGCAGCGCCGGCTCAGCACATCCGCGTCTACGGTGCGCGCCTCCGTGTTGAGCACTGCGTTCCGAGTGCCTGTGGGAGAGGCAGGGTCACCCTCAGCAGATGGGGCAGATCCAGGACCAGGCATCCATCCGGATCCGGCCCCAGCCCCGGATCGAGACATGGGCCTTCCCTGGACACGGGGCCCTCACCTGGGAGACCACCGACTCGGGAGCCTCCCAGGTGACCCCAGCCTGTCACGTGCACGTCCTGTTACAGCCCATGCACCCCACTGCCCATGGGTCCAATGACACTTTTAACCCTAATGAGTCACAGACCTTCTGGAGAAATCACACTCCCCCCGACCCATGCAAAAGTTCGCCTGTAACCATAAACCAGGGCAGCAAACTTTCTCTGCAAAGGGTCAGAGAGCAACTATCTCCAGCTTTGCAGGACACCAGCAGCCACAGACAGCAGGTCAACTGACAGGTGTGGCCGTGTGCCAGCAGCACCTGATTTATAAAGACAGGAGAGGGCTGGACTTGCCCGCAGGCTGCACTTCCTCTGTGACCCTTGTTCTGGAGTGTTCTCAGCCTGAAGCCTGCTCCTGGACCCCAGGCTAAAATCCCTGCACTAAGCAGCCACATCACAACGGAGCCCCCTTGGACCTGTTCTCGCTGACACCGCCCTCATGACCTTGGAAATTGAAGTTTTCTTGAAACCCAGGGGCGGCACAAGCCCAGGAGCCCCCACTGTGATGTGTCTCTGAGGCAGGGATGGGGGGACAGAGTCGCAGGGGAAAGCCCCGGGTGCCACTGCCTCGCTGGGCAGAACTGGCTGCAGCTCTGCAAACCAGCACGGGGCTCCCGCTTTCATTGCTGTGGCATTTCCCCTGGCATGCTGGTCCCCCATTTCTTGGTGTGCAGGACACTGCTCAGGCGCACTTGGGCCTCCCCCCCAAAGCCATCATCCCTCATGTGTCTGTCCCCATCCATCTCAGCACCCCGTGAGAATCCACCGGCTGCTGCCAAGCTCCAGGTGCTGTGGGGCGCTGGCTTCACCAGCATGACTCCCCTCTGAGAGGGACGGGACGTGGCAGCTTTGGAGCCAAGTTCTTTACTGGTGACCAGCTGCTCTCGTTCCTCTCTACAGGGCTGCTACCGTCACCCGCGTGGTCAGGCCCCATGTGACACACAGAATGTCAGTAGTGGGCAGTATGGGGACTGGAAGGCCGCAGCCAGAGGCGACCAGCTCCTCCTCTCTCTCTATCGGAGTCTTCCAGGCTCCCGGACACAGGGCCTGGTGTGGCATCGGCCCCACGGTAGCCGGCTGACCAAATCCCAGCCCTCCTCCCTGACCAGGCTGCGTTTGGCCCCCAGCACAGCCCCAGGCACCGTGCAGACACCTGGCGCATCCTCCCTGACCAGCCGGGGCTCGCTCGGACTGTTCGCCTCCTCGGCTGGTCTCAGCATCATCTAGAACAGGTTTGTTTCCTTGGTGTTGACCTCCCTAACTAGACTGGGGGTTCCCGTGGGCAGGGATTCTGTTCCCAGCTGTATGTCCCCAGCACCGACCACCAGCTGAGCAAATGAACAAAAGCCAAAGCCCCTCCCATGGCCCCTCAGAGAGCTCCAGACACACCAGGGTGTCCGCATCAGCACTGGACGTTCAAGGTTGGATCACGCTCTATAATGGGGCCGTCCTGGGCACTGCCGGTGCTAAGCAGTGTCCCTGACCTCCACCCCTCCATACCAGGAGCTCCTCCCAGTTGTGACAACCACAGATGTCCCCAAACATGGCCCAGTGTCCCCTGGGAGCCGAATCGCCCCAGGTGAGACCCACCACCCTATGCCCAAGTGCCATCTCCCACCTCTCTCCTAAGAATGACCCAGACAATCAGAGGGAGCGAGAGGCTGCTGGACCCCTGGCTCGCCAGCTTTTCCAGTGCAATCTCAGGCCCCCACCCAGAAAGAAGGGGCAGGCTGGAATCAGAACCATACAGAGAACTTTTCTCTGTAAGGATGGTGGGACACAGAGCACGTGAGCACTGGCTGCCTGAGAGATTTCCTTGAGGACAAAGAGAGGACACTGTGCTGGAGAAAGTCACCTGGAAGACGCCATGCTGAACGCCGAATACAGGAGCCATGAGAGAGGAGCCAAAACCTAAAAGTATGTGATGTCTTTTGTTTCCTTCTCTTTTTTCTTATTTTCTTTTTTGTTAAAGTATGTGACATCTTGAAGTGGTGCAAGCGACTGGCCCTCAGGGGCCATTTGTCCCCATGGATGGGTGGGAAATGGGCTCAGGCAGCCCCCCAATGACAGGGCAGGGAATGCCTGGCTATTTCAGAATAACAACCTTCCACACATCAGCTTCAGCTCTTAAATGGATGGACCCAGAACATGCCTGTTCCCTGGGGCCTCTAGGGGTTAGGAAGTGATCAGAGCTTACAGCTCTGGAGACACAGGCTCCCTGGTCTAGCAGGAGCTCCTTGGCTGCACAGATCTGGCCGGATGCTCCTGGGTCTCCAGGGCTCATTTCAGGATCTAACCCACTTAAGGCCCCCAAAGGCTGCATAAACGAACAAATACAAAACTCTCACTGTGCACTGTCTGCCTCTGGTGTCCATCAGGACAGCTTCCTCCAAAACAAAGTCTCCTAAGCTCTGGGACCGTCTTGACTTCCCCATGGGGGGGACACGGCACACAGCAGTGCTTCACAGAAGGCTGAATCCACTCATCAATGAACTGCAGGTCCTCCTTACCTTCCGCCCCAGACAGCAGTGGGGCAGGGACCGTCCTCGTAACTCTGCATATGGATCTTGTGCCACATACTGAGCTGCCTCCACCTCCACCCAAGTGGCACTGGAAGGACACCCAAGAGCACAGGGCCCTCCCTGGGGCCACCAGCACTCAACTGGGATGCAGGCCCGGGTGGCCACACTGGGACACCAGAAACCCTAACCCTTATGTCAAATCACCCACACGTGAAAGGAAAGCATCGGGTCCAAACCACGTGCAGTGCCACGCAAGCCAGTGTGGAGCCAGCAGGCAATCCCCAGCGCACGTGCGTGGACGTGGCCCTCAGGGCCTCCAGTTCGGACCCACGCAGGAAGCGCTCAAAAATAACGACACAAAGAGCCATCGTGCCTCCCTGTGGGAGCCAGCCTGCCCGCCCAACGACCAAGGTCGAGGCTGGGGGAGCTGCCAGGGGCAGTACGTTCACTCCCTCACAGACGCGGACACTCACCTGGGCCTGTGCTGAGCCTCGGGCTGGGGGCCAGGAGCACAAACCCATTTCTGCTTTCCAGGAATGTTCCATCCGGGGAAGCAGGCAGGCAGAGGGGCCGGCTCCAGGGCAGCGTTCTGATGGTGGAGGGCAGGAAGGACATGGAAAGGACACCTATCCCCGGGGGGATGCAGGTGGTCCCAGGAGCAACCAGGAAGTGGTGGCAGAGAACCAGCTCCCAAGGCCAGGCCCCGCCCCTGCTCCCCTTCCAGGGTCCCCTGGGAGGCCCAGCAGGGAGAAGGCAGAGACCTTGGGGAAGTCCTTGAGTTCCTGGAATGCCCAGAGTGTCCCTCCCCCAGGCGCCCTTGGCCTCCCAGGGGCAGCTCAAATATCACCTCATGTGGGTGGGGAGGTGAGGAACACCTGTCCAGCCTACTGTGTGCCCAGCTAGAAGCCTGAGCATCCTCTCACTGGGTCTCATTGGGCCTAGAGCTTCTACAGAGTAGGACTGAGGACCCCGCTCCCCAGGAAGGGAGGTGCCCGCAGCACCCAGCATGTCGGAGGCAGAAAGGGTGCATGTCAGCACCCCCAGAACTCCCCGAAGGTCATGGGTTTCGTCTGTAGGATGAAGACCAACCCCCATGAGACCCCCTCACACCAGTACCAGCCGAGATCACGCTCCCCTCCCCTGTTCAGGGCCCAGTGGGCTTTCTGTAACAAGGTCTGTCTCCACACCCTCTCTGAGCACCCCACGGGTACATCCTCCCTTGAGAGCCGGCGCCAGGGTCGGGAGGGGCGTAAACACAGCCCTCAGCAGGCATGAGGCTGCAATTAGCACCGTCCCCCTCAGCTTGCGTCTGGACAGGTAGAGGTTACACTTGGTGGGCGCCACAAAGGTGGGCACTGGGCACCTGGACAGATGTCACTGGTTCCAGTAACAGGCCCAGACCTGAACAGGAGTCAGCGATTGTCATTTCAGCACAAAGCAGCCAGAGACAGCCATCAACGGGTGGGTGTAACTGCATGCCAATAAAACTTTATTTACAGCAGCAGGTGGTGGGCCAGATTTGACTTATGGCTAGCTGGACTCCTAGATTAAGGGGCTTGGGAAAAGTCTGGTCAGCATGGGTCCCAGGAGCCAGGCCTCCCAAGCATGGCTCACCTTGTAGGTCCCTGTGGGGATTAACCGGGCTGGGGCACGTGAAGCACTAAACACAGCAGGGCACACAGTAAGCGCTCAACAAATGCCTCCTATTGTGAACAGCCAGAAAGACTCACACAGAGAAAGCAGATCACCTAAAAAGGACCAGAGTCCACTTGGAGGTGGTGGTGGTGGGGGCAAGGTAAGGCTCCCTGCGGCCTAATTATCCTCAGACCCAGCCCTCACCCAAGTACAAAGAGCACCCGCCTGGCCCTGCGTTTCTCAACAGGGGCAAGAAGGAAGTTGGGAAAGTTGTTCCCAGCCAGGAAGGGTTGCGGCTGGCAGCGGGGGAGCCCGGGGGCGGCAGGGTACTGGAGAGAGGGTGCTTAAGACATCAGGAGTTTGCAACTGACCCGGAGTGATGGAGCAGAACAGCTCTTCTCTCCAGGGCTGTGGCCCGTGCCACACTGGGTGTTGGGCTGCTGTCAGAGGACATGGAAGCATTGTGGAGGTGCAGCCCCTCCCAGATAGCCATGCTCCCCACTGCATGCGTGGGGCCTGGTCTGACCTTCAAGGGCTGGACCTTTGCCTCTTGGAGTTGCAGATGAGAAATACTAAGGCTGGGAAGGTTGGTCACCCCACGAGGACCCCTCTGCTCACCCCCGGAGCCCATGGTCTTTATGGACTGGCTGGATGAAGCTGGTCTCCATGTGGGGAGGAGGCATCTGGGTTTCTAGGGGCCAGGGAGGAGGGCCCATGGGGAAAGATGCCAGGTCAGGAAAAGAATCTGGATTCTGCAGATGCCAAGTAGAGAAACCATGTGGAAAGATGAGAGAGAGAAGAGAGAGAGACACAGAGAGACACAGAAACAGAAACAGGGAGAGAAAGGGAGAGGGAATTATGGGCAAAGGACTCAAGAGAAAGGATGGAAAGAGAAAGCTTTAGGGAAAAGAAGGGAAGGAGCTGAGAAGAAAGGGCCCAGGGACAGGGGAAGGCAATTGGGCCAACATATGGGGGCTGGGAAACAGAAGGGAAGGCCCCATGAGGATCCCAACGGAGGGAAGTTGCGACTTTTACAAACTGGGAAGCCTGTCCCGCTGGAGACAGGCAGCAGTGCTGTCTGCTCAACAGATTCAGCCAACACCCACGGGCAGGTTTGGAGGGGGAGAGAAAGGGGCCGCTTCAGCTGCACGCGGGACACTGTCTGAGCCAGCCAGGTGCGTCTCAGGGTGTCCAGGCTGGAGCTCCCACTCACCCACGGGGCCCAAGAGAAGGGGGGTGTGCTGGGGAGGCTGGACAGGAGACTTTAAGCAATGTCTCGAGGGTGTGAACCAGAAAGGGTGAGAGACTGGAACAGGATCTGGAGAAACAGGTTACCTCAAGTTCTCAGAGCTGGGCCCTCTGGACTCCAGACTCATCTGGAAGTCCCACAAAAGCTCTACATCTGTGCTGCCCCTCTTGGTGGTTGCTAGCCACACGTGGCAATTTGGGTTTATTACAATTAGCAGCACTAAAAATTCCATTCCTCAGCTGCACAGGCCCCATTTCTAGGGCTCAGAGGCCGCCTGTGGCTGGTGGCTCCATATCGAACAGCAATGATACCAAACCCGTCCACATCCACAGGGCAGACAGTTCCACTGACGGCACTGACCCTTTCCCCAGAAAAATGCCAAAACAACGCATAAAATGTGCTCACGACTTTAGGGGCTCCTAGCCTTCTACTCCCACCCCCCGGAGCCTGGGGCCTTGGGTCTAGACCATCACCCTAACCCAGGGTCTCTCCCCCTTGACACTACTTGAGACATTTGCGGCCGAATCACTACCTGTGGTGGGCCGTCCTCGGGACTGCAGGTGCTGAGCAGCGTCCCTGGCTTCCACCCACTCCATGCCAGGAGCATCCCCCTCTCCTCCTAGTCATGACAACCACAAATGTCTCCAGACATCACCCAATGTCCCCTGGGTTGACAACCACTGCCCTAAATGGAAACAACATAACTTTGGAGCGAAAAGAGATCTTAGGGGAAGTGTGGGTACGTCTCCAGAAACTGGGGCTCCCCAACGGCCTGGCAGAGGCTCAAGGTCCAGGGGACAGAGGCTGGGCCTGAGACATTCCAGTAAGAGAAACCAGCCCAAGAGAATTGGGGCTCAGAAATGAGGGGGGCTCCTTCATGGGGAGGTCAGGCCTTGACTTTCAGGAACCTACCAGAGTCAGGCTGCAAGGAAGAAAAACCAGAGACCAGAAGGTTCTGGAATCCCAGAGACAGCTCCAGCCAAGAGGAGACAAGGGAATCTAGAATGACTTGGGCGCCGGAGTCAGGACTGCGCTGGGGAGCTGGACAGGACCCAGGCCCGAGGGTTCTGGGGACTGTAACTCGGAGGGTGCTGACCCAGGGTCAGAGACAATCAAGAAATCCCGGGTTCTGGGAAGCAGGGGGTGCCGAGGCTGAGCTGAGGGGGGCCGAAATGCATCAAAGAAGGGGACGAGAAGTGGGGTCCAAAGGCGAGGGGACTGAACTGGGAGGTGGGAGGCGGCCAGGGAGGCTTGGTTAGGGGGATGCCAGGACCAGACAGAGCCCAGAGCCCGGGAAGAAACAGGGCCTCGAAGGGGGGTCGACTTCGGGCACGGGACCAAGAGCCAAGGCCGGGGGCTGCGGGGGACGGGGGTCCCGGGGCGCGGGCCGGGGAGAGCCGGGGGTGCAGGACAGCCGGGCTCCGACCTGCCCGGGGCCCGGCCGGGGGTCCACGCACCGTAGGGCTGGCCCTGCAGGTCGTACTGCTGCATGCGGTACACGGTGAACTCGTGCGCGGCGTCGGCGGCGGGCAGCGGCTGCGCCACCAGCAGCAGCACGGCGGGCAGGAAGACGATGAAGCCGAGCGGCAGGCACGACGCCTTCAGCATGTTCTCCAGCACCTCGCCCGCTTCCTCCAGCATCCTGGTCGGCGGCGGGGCCGCGCGGGGCGGCGGCGAAGGGGACGAGACGACGGCGGCAGCTCCCGCGGACTCACCTCAGCATGGGTAGCCGCCGGGGTCCTACGGGCGCCGCGCTGGGCAGCCCGAACCCGCCCCGGGGGTCCTGCGGGCACCGCCGCGGACCGCCCCTGCTGCCGCGCTGTCTCTTGGGAGTTGTAGTCCGCCCGGCGCGCGCGGCGCCACCTGGGAGTTGTAGGCCCACACTCGGGGACCCCCTGAAGGAATCCGCGGAGGACTGTTTGGATGACACTGCTGAAATATCGCATAAAATCCAAGTTAGGAAATACAGAGACTTCAAAACACCAATTTGTAATGGAACTTTTTTAAATCCCGTTTTTGGCGACAGGCGGGGGCAGGACGTGACCTTGCGACCCGGAAGGAAGTTGAGAACGAAGGAAAGAGGAAGTATCCGTCTTTCTGCGCTAGGTCTCCTGGGAACTGTAGTTCCAGAACAGGCACAAAGGCTCACGGGAGTTGTAGTCTTCCAGGCAGAAATTTCCGTGGGAAAAATCACTTAAAACTCCCCAGGATGTAAATGTTAAACTCTATGAGGGCGAAGACTTTTGTCAGCTTGGTGCCTTGCTGTATCCTCAGAACCTAGCACAAGGCCCTGCACACTGTGAGTAGTCTATACAATTTTTAGATGAATGAATGAAAAAAGAATTAAAAAATCATGATAGTTTTTAAAGGATGATGCAGTGGGTTATGGGATTTGTAGTCTGGGTCCTGGAGTTCATGCATTGGGTGAATTTCTATTCATCCTTATTTGTATTGGGGGCATATCTATACTTAAAATAAATTTTTTAATTATTTGGCGTTCATCAGAAACTCAAATTTAATTTCTATTTCCTAATCTGACATCCCTGAGAACCCAGAGTTACATAATGAGCGTCAATAACTCTCGCCCCCTTGGGAAGACTGAGGTCGGAGGGTGCAGAAGGCAATGGCCCTGGCTCTCACCTAGTTGACATCCCAAGACTCCAATACGGTTGCCTAAGGACTTAGGGCCTCCTTTCTATTCCAAGTGAGAAGTGTCATTTGTGCTGATTAAGACCACGGAGCCTAATCCCAGCTCCTCCTTTTCCCAGCTGTGTGACCTTGGGCAAGTCACTTTCACTTCAACTCTGAGCCTCGGTTTCCTCAGCCACTCAATAGTATGACAAATCATCAAACACGCTCACCCCTCAACAGGGGTGTGTGAATTCAATAAGATAATCTGCAAGAACTGACTTGGAAAGAGCTAGGCATACAGTAAGCACTCAATAAGAGTTGCTGTCATGACAACGTACCAAGCTCACACAGCCTCAGGCCTGTTACATTTATTTTCCTGCTGGAACATGCTTCTGGCACCTCTCTGCGTGGCTGGCTCCCTTTTTATCCTTCAAGGCCTGACATGTCCCACTTCCTGAAATGATGTTCGGCATTTCTTAGTGAGGCATTTGCTAATTCTCATCGCCGCAGAGTGTGGCTTTGTGAGAGCAGGGACCCGGCCTGTGCCTGATTATGGCTGTAACCCTAGTGCCCAGAATAGAGTCTGGCACACAATGGTTAAGTGAGTGGATGAATGAATGAATGAGTAATGAAAGCCCCAACAGACCAGCCAACCTCTCCCAGCTGTGACCCCTGCTCCTGGACATCCCCACACCTCCGCAGGGAGGTCCTAGGTCAAAGGAGTTAAGAGTGACCTGGCAGAACAGGGCAAGGGATGAGAACTAATTCTGGGTGCTCTCTATAAGCGAACCCGCGTGCTCTCTATAAGCGAATGCTTAGGACCAATTTCTTCCATCTGCCACCCTTTCTCCCAAACCAGGAGCATGAACACACAAGATACACACACTCTCATCAGAGTCAGGCCGAGAAGGGGGCCTGGGCTTGGATCAGATAACAGGACTCAGACCGTGTCACTGCTCATGCCATCTCCTCTCCTGAGCCTTGGTTTTTCTGTCTGTCAAATGGAGGTTCAACTAATCCTGCTCGGCGGAGATGAAACCATGGCCTGAGACGGAGCGTTCTGACTGTTCCAAGGAGGAAAGAGCTGATATTCATTCATTCACTTAAGCACTTGTTCATTCGTCAGAGAGGAAGTGAGAAGCAGGAACCAAGAAGCCACTGGCCTGGGTTTGAATCCCAGCGTGTGACCTTGGATAAGTGACCTAACCACTGTGGGCCTCAGCAAGGAGGAAAGAGCTGATATTCATTCATTCACTTAAGCACTTGTTCATTCGTCAGAGAGGAAGTGAGAAGCAGGAACCAAGAAGCCACCGGCCTGGGTTTGAATCCCAGCGTGTGACCTTGGATAAGTGACCTAACCACTGTGGGCCTCAGTTGGCCCGTCTGTAAAATGGGGTTAATGGTGGTAACTGCCTCCTAGAGGTTTTGTGAGAATTAAATGGGTTAATACACCAGTGGTTAGAACAACACCCAGCACCGAGTGATATATAAGGCTTTGTTGTTAATATTATTCATTTTAAAACATACACATGAAGAAAAAATATATAAATGATAGTTTGAATCCTTACAGCGTCCCAGACGGGCTCAGTATCCTCATTCTACAGGTGAGGAAGCTGAGGCCTGCAGTGCACAGCAGCTCTGGGGATGCTCATGGGTTACGGACACTGGCAAATGGGTTGTCATTAACCTCCGAGCCATCCCGTGAGTAGAAGTCAGGATTCTTGGGGACTGTTCCGCCGCTGTCAGGAAGGACAGCTGAGGTGGAAAAGGAGGAGAGGCAGGTTTCTGAGGCTCAGCAGAAGGCATGCTGCTGGGTCCAGTTCTCCCGGGGCTCTGGGTCATCGAGTGCCTAGTATGCACTGGGCCCTGTGCTGAGGGCTGGGGCCAGAGCCATGACCCAGACAAAACCACAATATCCACTGTCACGGAGCTGGATGTCCAGAGCAGTAGATGGATACGTGAACGGGGGAGATCAGAGCCATGATGGGGGACACACAAGCAGTTGTGGGAGCCCAGGGGTAGCCTAGGGAGGACAGGAAATCAAGGGAGGCTCCCTGGAGGAGGTGATACAACAGCTGAGATCCAAAGGATGGGCAGGGGGTCAGTCAAATAACAAAGGAGGGAAGGCATGTGCCAGGCAGAGGCAGGGCTGTAATGGGGGACACATGGGCAGCTGTGGGCACCTGGAGGAAACCTTGGGAAGACGGGAAATCATGGGAGGCTTCCTGGAGGAGGTGATGCTAAAGCTAAGGCACAAAGGACAGGCAAGCGGATGTCAAGTGAAGGATGAGGGAAGGCACTTGCCGGGCAGGCCACTCTGGAGGGGGCAACGAGCAGCCCAGCTCAGTCCAAGCAAACCTGGTGACGCCCTGAGGGGCAGAGGGGGCGACAGGGCTGGCTCACACAAGCCCAGGTCCTAGACTGAGAGCTGGGGGCTGGCCCAGACCCCACTCACCCCAAATCCCACCAAGACCCTGCTCTGCCTGCTGCGGTCCCAGATAAACACACAGAGAACAGGAATCAGGAAAACAGAAGCGTATCGTGCTCCTGGATAAGTGCTTGGAACTTTATCCAGCCCTGCCCAATAGAGCTGTCTGTGGTGATGGAAATGTTCTGTGTCGACGTCATCCCAAACCGTAGGCAGGAGTCACCTGTGGCTATCAAGTACTTGCGATGTGACTAGTGTGGGTAATATGGGTGACCTATGCCCCCGTCCCCCAAATCCATATGTTGAAGTCTTAACCTCCATGGCCTCGGAATGTGACCTTATTTGGAAATAGAGTCATTGCAGATGAAATTAGTTAAGAAGAGGTCATACTGGGGTAGGGTGGGCCCTTATCTAATGACTGGGGTCCTTATAAAAAGGGGACATTTGGACACAGACACGCACACATGGAGAAGGCCGTGTGAAGACGGAGGAAGAGATCGGGGTGATGCTTCCACAAGCCAAGGAACCCCAAAGAGTGCTGCAGCCACCAGAAGGTGGGGAGAGGCCTGGGACAGACTCTCCCTCAGCTTCAGAAGGAACCAGCCCTGCCCCGCCTTGATCTTGGACTTCCAGCCTCCAGAACCAAGAGAGAATACCTTTCTGTCATTTAAGCCACCCAGTCTCTAGGACTTTATTACGGCAGCCCTAGGAAACCAATACACCGAGGGACTGAATTTTTAAATTTCATTTAATTGTAACGAATTTTAAGTAGGCACACATAGCTAGTGGGTACTCTATGGGGCAGTGCAGTAAATAGTTTCCAATCACGGAGTCCCTCACCATGCCATGGAGGAATAGTGGCTTAGAGCAGAGCTGTCCCATGCCCAAGAGGAGGGCAGGGTGGATTCCAAACCCCTCTGCCCCAAGCACTTGACTGGACACAGGCGAGAAGACCCTCAGGGCCTGCTTGGTCCTGGGACGGTGGAGAGACAGCGATTTCTACCTGCTCCAGGTGTCCAAGTGTTGTGGATTTTCACCTGCACCGATACGTGGCCACGAGTCCCGTGGTGATGCTTCAGTGTAAACTAATTCAAATTAAATACAATCTACAATTGAAAGGTCAGGCATCTCCTGTACTGGACATCGCAGAGGTGGAACATTTCCACCATCACTGGACGTTTTATCTGGATGCAGGCCCTGTGGCCAGCACTGAGCATGTTCTGTGATTAGCCCATTTCACAGATGGGGAAGGGAGAGGTAGTTAGTGCTAAAGGGGACGCTCGACGGGACTCCCCCAGGCCAGGAAGGCGAGGCCTCCACCCCGGGCTGGTCCCTAGACTGGGTCCCCAAAAGATGCAGAAGCCAAGCTGGGGCAGGAGCCTTCCAGGGGGCCCTGCCTTCCTCAAAGGGGAAGTGAGCGGGACTAGGTGTGTCAACTGTCACCAGCCCCACCGGACAGCCTTGCAACGCTCAGATGCGGTTGCTGTCCACACACCACACACACACACACACACACACAGGGAGTCCATTCATGCAGACACACCCCCAGCGCTCACAACCATGCCCCTAAATCACACGCACTCCCAGCCCTCTCTAGCCAAGGGAAAAACACCGACGCCGGCACGCTGCCCGCAGACTCACACCCTGACAGCCACGCGGGAGCAAGAGAGACGCCATCACGCCTCCTACCACCACTGAACTTCAGTGTTTTCAGGGTGTCCACCGTCCAGCCGCCCCTCACAGCCTGGGAGCTCCACAGGGGCCCAGAGAGAGGCCGAGACTCCCACCAGCAAGAGAGACGCCATCACGCCTCCTACCACCACTGAACTTCAGTGTTTTCAGGGTGTCCACCATCCAGCCGCCCCTCACAGCCTGGGAGCTCCACAGGGGCCCAGAGAGAGGCCGAGACTCCCACAAAATCACACAGGAGGGGGGACGCAGCAAACCCACTCGTCCCCACTCTGGGACACTCTGCTCCGAGGGCCACTTGCCTCTTTGTCCAAAGTGACCACGGGAAGAAAACCTGCTTGGTGTCTACAGGCCCAGGGGCTGCAAGAGGATCAAGGGCCTGCCCCATTCTCTGCTGGCACTCCAGCCACACACGTGCCAGGAGGGCCCTCCTCGGGGGCATGCACGGGGGGCACCGGACCTCAGACGCTCCGCACGCTGGAGATGCTGGTCAGGGGCTCCCGCATTCGAAAACTGAGCGATCGGGAGGCCCGAAAGCTGTCCCTGGGCCTCAGCGAGCTGTCGGTGGTGGAGGTGCCCGAGTGGGCCTCGGTGGCCCGGACCAGACAGTCCCCGGGACCTCGCAGCCCCAGCTGGAGACACCCGCTGCAGGCGAAGGCCAGGACGGCGCGGCGCACCTCGCGGCTCCGGAACGAGTAGATGAGCGGGTTGACCGCGGAGTTGAGGACGGCCAGGGCCAGGATCCAGTCGATGCCCCGCAGGTACTCCTGCGCCCAGACGTTGGAGCCAAAGACATCGGCCAGCAGCAGACCAAAGAGCGGTCCCCAGCACACCACGAAGGCCACCAGGATCATGAGCACCGTCTTCAGGAGCCGGCGGGACTTGCGGCGGGCTGGGGGGCGCTGGGCTTTCTGCCCGTTGGCCCGCACGACACGGAAGATGGCCCCATAGAGGGCCATGATGGTGGCCAGGATGAAGGCAAAGACCAGCACGCAGAAGAGGATGTAGCCCTTGGAGTAGAGGGGCAGGAGGCTGGAGCAGCGCTCGAAGGCACACACGCAGTTCCAGCCGAGCAGGGGCAGCAGCCCCAGCAGCCCGGCCAGCAGCCAGCACAGCCCGATGAAGCCACACACGCGGCCCGTCTTGGTGGCCCTGCTCTCGGCCACCGGGCGCACCATGGTGGCAAAGCGCTCGCCGGCTGTGAAGAGCAGGCTGAAGGTGGAGGCAGCCAGTGCCATGAAGAGGATGCCCTCCCGCAGGAACCAGTGGGCCGGTGCCAGGCGGAAGGTCCGGGTCCCCGACAGCAGCACGTTGACCATGTAGGCCACCCCGGTGAGCAGGTCGCTCAGCGTGATGTTGACCAGACAGTAATAGACCCAGCGCCGGGACCGCATGCGTGTCACGATGGCCACCAGCACCAGCAGGTTCTCCAGCACCACCAGGCAGCCAGCGGCCACCGAGAGGCCCCGCATGCCCCCCAGGCCACCCTCCTCCGGCCCGCCGCGCCCCGCCAGCCGGCCCGAGTGGTTGTAGTGCAGGACGATGAGCCGGCTGTGCCCGCCGGCCGCCAGCTGCTGGCAGGAGCCGGGGGGCACCGTCGGGGACCCCGTGGCGTTCATGGCCTCCCCCGGGGGCAGACTGAGGCCCGGGTGGCTTTTCCCGGGGGGGGGGGGGCCCCGGCCGGTCCTTGGTTCCTGTTA